AATGAGCAGAAAGTGATATCTTATTGCTTTGGAAACGAACTTATCCCAATACCCACGATTCATCAGCCCATGTTCAAAATGGAGTCAGTGCAGTAAGCACTCTTAAGTCGCACGGTGAAGGCATGTGTCAGTCACGTCCTAGACACACTTGACCTGTAGAAAGTAGAAGTCACGATTAAAATTCACGCACAATAATATGCCTCGACGGGGAGTCGAACCCCGGTCCACGAATTGCCGGTCCGCTGCTCTACCACTGAGCTACCAAGCAGAAGTCATGTGTTAAATTCCGCACCTAATCGTCAGCCCTCGGTAGCTCAGTGGTAGAGCAGCGGACCGGAAATTCGTGGAGCGGGGTTCGACTCCCCGTCGAGGCATATTATTGTGCGTGAATTTTAATCGTGACTTCTACTTTCTACACACTTGACCTGTGTCTAAAATCTGCCGTGCGCTATCAAGGTGGCCAAAGCAACATGTGGCATGTGGTGCTTTTCATGTTCGTGATGAAATGTTTACATGTGGGTGTGCCATCTCAAGAATAGATTTGAACAAATTTGATGCAATACTGATAAAGAAGTAGCAACTAATGGACTAATGAAATGCCTTTCCATCATGTTTAGCCAAAAGCAATTTCTTCTTGAGCCGGCAAAAGTATCATAAGTGGTCTCTATACCGATATATTAAGCATTTATGAATTGTGTTAAAGTGCATGAGTGCGACAAGGCTTTTGATAAACTGCGCTAGCTTGGTCAGTTGCAACCAACGGCGTGGGCACAGTGAGCAATATACCACCGAGAATTACTAAACCGGACACACTGGTAGTACTCACGGATAGAGGGCACACGCTACTTTGACATTTTTTGGAGTGTTTCTATCCTAATCACACGTTATCAACCAAGCATACATTAGTTGATCCCGAGTGACGGGTAGCTCGCTGACCAACTAATTGCGCAAGCAAGTGGGAACATAGCGGGATTTGATGTGTGGCTTAATCCACTTTTCCTCACTGAGCCAAAGTGGGAATGAGCAGTGGACGTCGAGGAGCCAAAAGAACAAGTTCAATGCTTGATTTGCGTGTGTCCAACAAAAACCGTCAGCTCAAACAGTACCATTCGTACTGACCGCCGCCGAGTGCTGAACCGGTACAAGGGCTCAAAAACTGTAGTGACAATAACATGAGTCTTGTTTCACAGAAGCTTTGCAGTGTGGGACCACCTCAAAGCTGAATTCATGCGTCAACAGGCGGGATAACAGAAATAGAAGGGAGCAAACAAGTCTGATTAGAATAAATGCTTAAAGAATTACCTATGCATTGTTGGGTAAATGCAAGTGGCTAAGTGCTCGCACGCAGAAATTGCTCCTTTGGCCATAAACTGTAGATTGCACTCGGCCTGCCTTAGGCCAAATTGCTTGAGGAACAAAACGCCTTGTGGCGCCCCACGGTTCAATTGAAAAACTGATCGTCGTACTGATTCAGCTGTGTACACATGATCGTCGGTTTGTAAAACAAAACTTAAGTGTCCCCCAACTATAGAAACAAATGTGGTTTACTCATAAGGGGGAAGTGTTGTTGACCAATATATAGAAATAAACAAAGGACAGAGAATACGTATTTGCTGCATTCGAGACGAGTTCGACGACACTTGCTCAGATGGAACATGAACTCTCCAGTCTAGACGACAGCTTTGCTTATCTACAAAACACGATTCTGTTAGATAATCTGCACGATAGTCATTTTTCAACAACCGGTAATGAAGAGCAATAATCAACGTAACATAACGGAAGGCGCAATGAACAGTCTTAGTGACAGCAAGATGGTATTGTAAGTTGCGCAACAACTGGGACTGTGAGGAACGGACGTCAAAAATAACGAATACTTTATAATGACTTATAACAGCGCTGACAAATGCATCACAGAAAAGAAAAACTACCCCTCAACGGATGTAGACGGCTCGATGGCGGTGACCTTTGCGTGGATAAACCCTCCTGACTTCCCGGGGGGATTGTGCTCCAGAGCATGCTGGATCAACATTTTGGGGACAAGTTCGTTACCATCTTGGATAGCGGCCAGTTTTGGTATAATGGATGCCAAGCTAATGAAACCTGTAAGAATAAGCATGCGAAATTTGTCACACACGAGATTAGGTCTGGATGGTGACCTAGTAATACATTCCATCAACTAGACAAGTTTCTCTTCATAACCTAACTCCACAAATGAATTAGCTGACAATACGAAGCCATCAAAGAAGGTAAAGTCAGTTGCGATACTGCAGTGGATTTGGGCATACCTGGTGGCATCAGTTTGGACAAAGGTTACGCATGATCTGAGCACGGCCCCTATTCACGCGCGCATTCGAGTGACACGCTGAGGCCTTGAAAACAGAACGATATGCACGCGACCGGAGGGCTAGAAGCGCAAGCATGAGGTACGCGAACCACGCAGCTAGAGCGGTGCAAATGAGCACGTGACCTCACGCATCCCAGCCACCCGCAAGAGGAGACGAGAGAAGACGAAGCAGACCTCTGGGAGCGCTTTTAGGACCCAGAAATTTACATTAAAATTGTCACAGTGATTCATTTTGTGGGTGAAATGAAGCACCACGCAGAGCTGGTGGTTTACGAAAGAACATTGTTCATTTTAGCCCAGTTGCGCCCCTGACTCGGAGTGGCTGGATCCTGCTACGTTGTGGACAGGCATTGAACTCTACGTAGCACAACCCACGCATCGGCATTTGTGGCGTGTATTTGTGGGGATACTTTAACTGTCCGTAACCAAGACAAAAGCAGGTAAATCAATGACAGGACAGATGTTGACATGCTCATTAGGCGTATTGCGTGCAGGTACTTTGCATTGAGATGTCCTGTCATTTGTATACAATGGTACTGCGTACCTCAGGCTTGTGCTTCTGATACAATCATTTTAAGGAACTAGCTGCTTAATTCTCTTTTACTCAGCGTATCAGCTGGATGTCATCAGAGCATTTAGAAATATGGGTGCCGCATGGCTTGTTTCACGTTTGCCTTGATGACAATCCAAGTGACTTTTATTGGGTTCAGTGGAGGCGCAAATGGTGCAAGTCGCAGGAGTCTGCCTGACTAGTAACGCCCCTCTTGGAACACGTGTCCCAGATCCGTGTGGCATGGTGCGCTATAACATTCCAGCAGACACCTAACAGTAACGGCGGTGCCGTTGGCATCAAACATTTGTCGCAACCACCGTGCACACCTTCCCTTGTTGCAACTCCCCTTAAAATGGTATATCCTGAAAGTCCATCTGCAGTAATTACGTTAATAAGGTGAAGATTTTATCCATGAGTACTCGCTGCAGTACACCGCGCACGGGTGCCATGTGCTGAACGCCGCGTGTTGCGAGCAAAACACAGCCTACAATTCAGTTCATCAATCCAAACTGTCTGACATCCTCCAGCTTCCAAGTTCATGAGTTACAAAACGTATGCTTTTCTTCGCTTCTTGTTCTTAAGCGTATTCATCGAGTTCGGTTTAGCACCTTGCTTTTTAGGGGTCATGAGGCGACCCTCTAGGTACCGAACTACTGTGCCGACGACCACCTCCACACTGAATTCCGCTTGCAATGGGAAACGAAGACATCCGAAGGTTATCAGAGGCTCCCCTTCCACCCATTCCATCAAAAAATCCAGGTAAATAAAAGTTAGTGAATTTCGACGTACCCCACCATATTTTCCTTCTTTTCTTTCGACTGTAACGTTTTCATTCTTGACGATTATGCTACCAAGCTCAGGACAATTACAATGACAATCGTTTGGTCCGAGTCGACAAGTCTAGCTTCAGTCCGCGCTGTACGAAATTACACGACGTGTTTATAAGAGCGATACAGCGGTGAGAATGACTGATTATCGGTCCAAAAAGGGACGTTGATTGGGTAAACCTCAAGGGGGGTATGAAGTTGGCCTGTACTGCGCGTTCACCGAGGCACAGATGCACATAGACAAAGGAGGAAATGGTCAGACAGGCTAGTTCAGTGGGGACAAAGCTTCAGCGGACAATTATAATCGGTGAAGGGTGAAGGTCACCAACCGACCCTACTCGGTGCAGTGCAAAGTGTTGACGGTCGTAAACCAAGTTGGACAGATGTGTGGAGGCAATTTAAGATGGTGCGAATGCGAGGTGATAACAATTTTAGGGAACGTAAGGTGAAACGAGGAGATGAGTTTTCACCACGAAATGGGTTAGTATAGTCCTAATGTTGGGTAGGGGAAAGGAATATGGATGGGAATTGGGCTCGCGACGTCCGATCGTTCTAAGCAAAAGGGGCATTGGGTGGAACTCGCTTCCAACCACCCACCCTCCAACCAAAAATGTGAAATTACACGCAGTTCCGCAATCCAAGAACACACAAGAGGACAAAAGGCGAAAAGATATCCAACGTATTGGTACTGCTGCAATCAGAAGTCGAAGGAAGACGAACGGTGTGGATGTCTGAAACCAAATTTAATCTCTTTATGCTTGCACCGTTCTCCGCGTAGAACTCGTGTACGGTGTCAAGTGCATAACACTGGATGACAGAAATTTAATCTGATTTGAGCTCTGACGAATGATGGCTTGGGCGAGTATAAAATCGTGAGAGGAAGCTTTAACGAAGAAAGGAGTGCGCAGTGGTGGCATCGACTGATGGATGACCGCAGTTCTACTTTTGTCGCAAGCTGCCTCAAGATTTGCGATAACGCGCCATGCCGCACGAAACTGGAGCGTGTATTTCAAGAGTTCTACAGTTCGGGCAGCTTTCTGCGCCTTGCTCCATATTCTCCATCATTGAATTCAATTGAGGACATTTGGAGCATCATCAAAGAATACGTGAAGCAAGTGATGTGACAGAGATGTTGCGAGATGCTTCACGGTGTGCCTGAGGGTGTACTCTGCAAGACCTAGTGGATAATACTTTTCCTGGAGCGAATTGCGTCACATGCGCGAGCTTGTGTGACGTCCCAGCACTGCCAAACACATGACAGGTCACGTGAAGAGGAATTACGCTCGCGCAGTGCATGGTATTGATTTGTAAACCTCTTCCATTTATTGACCTAAATGTACATAATTGGAACTAGCATTATCACTGCTACGCATCGCGAAGCTATTGTTTCGATATCCAAATATAAACGACAGCGTTCAGGCCAAGTGCTTTCGCAGAGCGTTTTTGCAAGTTGCCGCGTTAGAAGTTGCGAGAAAACTAGTGGGTATCCGGATGATTCTTGATAATCAGGACAACATTGCTGCTAGTGATGAGAGGCCATGTGTTTATACGTGCTGTTGGCTCGCTGGTTCATAGAGGGGCAATAGTCGGCAATTGGTATCATGAAGAGGACTACCGTGCGCAGGAAAGGAAGAGTCATTCTGTTCTTCGTTCGGTTATGTGTTATTGCGGAAATGTCAAAGATACATAGTGCTGTAGGTTACAAATCGCCGCGTGAGGACAGGCACTGTGAGATACGCTAAGACAACACTGATCCATCTCAGGATGCGAGATCGATGTTTGTCGGTTATGGTGAAGCATTTCAGAGGGCTATGCGGTCGGCTGCGTTCGCTACGGCTTTTAAGTTGTACCAATGTATGCGGTGCATCATGGGTCGCCGGATAGTTGCTGGTAGCGCGGCGTTCAAGGGAACACGAACCACTCAATCAAACAGATTCTTACGCCACTGGAACACTGGCATTCACTTCCGCACAGACTGCCAGCTGAGCTTCGGTTCAACGCAGCAAGCGAAACTGTCGTCCGACTCAAAGCACCACCACGGCAGACAAACGATTTAATGAACTTATCCGAAATTCACAAAGAAAGCATGTCTGAAGGAACTGAGGATCTTCCTGTGCAATCCTGCAGCTACTTCCCAGGAATTGTGCAAACTGAGTTATCAAATATGCTAAGCACAATGACACCGAACTGACATCCAAGAGACTCACCGATAATGTCATACAAAATGGATAGCGGCCTACCATACAACGGTCGCACAACCTATCATGCTAGTTACAACTGCCTCGGATCGTTGCTGAGAACCGAAACACTTTCCTGCATGTACACGAATGCCCAAGGCCTCTTCAGCAAAATCGCCGAGCTTTGGTTGCGCCTAGCAACGAACGCTTGGCATCTCATCTCCATAACTAAGACTTGGTTACACTCGGGGATTACGCATGTTCCGACATGATCGTCCCAGCAGAGGAGGTGGTGCTATTCTATACTGTCGTAACGACTTACAAAGCGAACCACTGGATGATCCGAATACCCGTGTCACCGAGTCACTGTGGTGCCGTTTGCGACTCAGACACAACGACAATTGGTTCGTGGCATTCCCATATCGCTCTCCATCTTCCACTCCAGAGATGGATTCCCCCTTAATATCATCACGCACAAAAGGTTTACTCCCAACTTCCGGCCAGGTTCTTCTTTCCGGCAATTTCAACGTGAAAGACTTGGAAAGATCGGCAACCCCCCAGCAAAATATACAAAGTCATACTGCAAGTCCTTATTATCAATATCCCGCTCTACAATCACACCAGTTTACCTACCAGGCACAGGGCTGATAACAAACCATCGCTACTTGACCTCATCCTTACAAATGAGGAACCCATGATCAACAGGTCATTTATAGACACCCCACCAGGGTTAAGCAATAATGTCACCATACTTTATAACTATGTGCTTTGCGCTGAAAATCCTGCGGAACATAGAATTAACACCTACTGTCACACGTTATATATTGCACAACGTAGTTGTGAAGACCGATTGGGAGTTCTTGAAAATTGGCTCACCTGACAGTGCCTGGATCCAATATGTTGGACGTTTCAACAATCTAATCGCAACTGCTTCGGACAGAAGGAAGATTCGCTCCATCAATCCTTCGTGCTTCATCAGAAGTAGGACTCGCAAACGCATGCCAATAAGGAATGCAGCTTGGAACACTTACATAGCTCGTCCCTGTCCCGATAGGTGGAGCGATTACGTGATCCAGCGCAACCACTGTAACATGCTTGTCCGTGAGGACAATTTAACTCTTTAAAAACATTTGGTGCGTAAATTTGCCAAGAGCAAAAAGCTCCTATCCAAGCATGTTAACACCATCCGGAAAGCGAAG